TTTTTTGAATCATCACTGTGACCAACAGATCAAATGATATGCCAAGTTGCACTCTTCTAATAATAAATAAAAACCTTTTGTTTACAAATGTCCAACGCTGCATCGACCACAGATTTCGCATGAACAAGTTTCTTTCCGTGGAAGTATCCATCACAAGCCACCAGCACCTTTGCCTTTGCTTGCATCAAACGTGATGCCAATGCATCGGCTCCAAAACCGGCGAACACCACCGAATGCACCGCACCAATATGTGCGCATGCTAACATCGAGATTGGCAATTCCAGAATCATCGGTAAATATATTGCAACCACATCACCCTGCAGCTTTCAATCGCACTCAATCAAATACGCTCGATTCCAGACAAATCAAGATGAAACGATCAACTGGATACGTATTACGCGAGATCGAACTCGCAACAATCTCTTCAAACAAGAAAACTCCCATAAAATAGACCAACTTCGAATCGCCATCTCAATTAACCTAGGATCTTATTAGCCTTCAGCCGATTGCTTTCCAAAAGTCATTTGACTCTCGATGGAGAAATTACTTCATTCGATAGTCAGCCATTAATAATTCTGTTTGAATGTCATGAATAAGCAACCGAGTAAGATGAACCTTCCTGATGCCACACGATCGAAGCACCTCAGCAAACGCGGAAACCTTATCGGCAAGTTCTTGATATGTGATTTGTGTACTATCGGCTGGCTCGTTACCTTCCCAATAATATGCTACTTTCGAGCCGTATCCTGAAATTGAACAAATCTTAAGCTGATTAGATTTGTTCCCGAATGTTATTGTTTTTAGAAAATTTTCAAGCGAATTGTTTCTGGAATGAACTAGTTACTGACCACGATCGATATTGCGTTCCAAGCAATTGTACGCAGCATTTGTATAAGCACCTTTCATGAAATGAATAAAAATATCCCCTTTGCGATAGTCAAAATTCCATTCAAGACCCTGAAATGAATCAATCGATAAAAGTAAACCTGAAAATTTTCATCATCATAAACATTGGGGTTTCTCAGTTCCATTGAATTGCTCACATTCATTCCAATAGAACCTGGTGCTTTTCAGGACTGTAATCAAATCAGTCTATGTAATGTTATTACTGCGCTGCTCGTTCAGTTCATCGCGAATCGGTACTTTGATTTAAAAAAAAACATGTGATAATGGAGTACACAGCTCATTAAGAGAATGAGACGTACAACAAAAAAAAAGAGCAAGCAATTGTTTCTCGTTGCAATTGAGAATGAGAGTGATGAATGGAAAACGTTAAAAAAAGAATGAGAGCGAATTCCTCCTGAAATGAAAACAACAAACCTTATCAGATGGCGTTTTGAAGTGAAGATGTCCGGCAACTGTTCTCCAGAAATTATCTTTGTCATGAATTGAACTACCGTACATCTGATTGTATGATTTCAAACCTGCATTGCAAAGTTCTCACTCACATAAGATCCCTTTATGAATTGTTGACAATGAATTTAGGGTATTTTTAGCAAAGTTTTTTCACTCAAATCGCATCCAAGAGCTGATGTGATAAAATTGACTCGTTCGTTTTTTGGGTTATTACATGCAATTGCTTGATCTGATCAAAAAGTGAACGTCAATGAGTGATTTGCAACTGATCGAGCAACAATCGTTGAATTGATTCACCTTCGGTGTAAAGATGTCTTTTTGACTGATGATGTCCATCATGCACTACCGCTGCAGTTGTTGGTAGCTGTTTTTTGAGGATTGGAGCGCAACGCCGAGCCACAAGCTGCCATGTTGAGCCCGGAAGTCGCGCTAAAGGCAATAAACCCATCACAGTCATGATCTGAAATCATCGAATAACTAACAACTCATTTATAGCATACTATCTTAACACATCAATCGCTCGTTTAACTAAAATCACCGTCGAAGAATAAGCAATGGCGAGAATAAGTTACGCCTAGAACTCTCATTTAGTCATCCACAATTCAATCATGCTCACTCAACGGAGTGCTTCTAAGTGCATGAGTTAAAATATAAGATTTGAAATTGATAATTTNTTGATATACTTCTAAAATGCATCTTCTCTCCATCTCACATTCAGCAAATTTGTTTGCAGATATTCGACTGAAAATGATCTGACACACCGTATGCTATGAACAATAATGATATGAACTATAGAAAGTTGATGAATAATAATAATGCTTGAGGAGTATTAATAGCATTGCCATGGATATTTTACTGGTTGCTTGACTCAAGAATATGGTGAATTCAGAATTGGAACTTATCAATAAACCAAACATTGTTCTTGAAATGAAGCAATCAAATATGATTGCTCCGTACAGATGATGAAATCAGTGAAATTGAGTAATTTGCTGATGAACTGCAGGTTGATGA